TTTGATAGCACAACATGTTTTACCCCTGAGCTATTGCTTAGGGTTTTTTTTAGTACAAACAACTGCAAGGCCATTATACAAATACCTTTTACTGGCATCACAATCTATGAGGAGGATTTGAGAAAGCAACCTATTCTCCCATCAATCCCAAGTGCATTCTGAGCTGCACTCAGAAACCCACAAAATAAAAATCCTTAGTTTTCAAATTATACATTTTGGTTCTCTTTATCTAACTGAAGGTTTATGTTCTCATGCTTTCTTTGTGAACCATGTGAGCTAGAAACAGTTTTTTCCAATAAAGCAAGCTAAGATTTTCACATCACGAAACTCCAAGTAGAAAACAGGACTGAAAGACGCTTTCATGAGTTTCCTGACACAATCCCATGCTATTGCATACAACCACAAATAAAGTTTTTCATGAAAGGACAAAAATGCTCTAAGAAAGAAAACAAACAAAACAAACCATGGTAAGACATAGTAAACAATCCTACAACTCCAAGAGATAGCAAAGTTGGTATTGTATTTGCTTGAGAAATTTTATCTGGGATAGTGAAACCTATTTCACAGGTTATTACTCAGATTTACTCCTTTCCTGTCTTACTTGGTCACTAAGATATATTATAAAGAAATCAATTTCCAATACACAGCCCTATCATTTTTCAGGTAAACTTTTGTAACTTTCCTAATAATTCCATGCAAAGAACTTTGAAATTCGATAGGTTTTCAAAGCAAATGTTGTTAAGCTCCACAGCTTTCAGTATCTACTAACACCTTTATCTAGTACAGCTGAAGCATTCAGAGATATTTTTTTCCTGTTGTACTGCTGACAGCAATACCACTCATACACAAATATAGTATGGATGAAAACACAAAAACTTTTGATTTTAGTCCATCAGAACATAGTTATTTGGTAGGATATTAAATAAAGTAAGAATTCTTATGAAACACCAGCGTCTGAAACAGTCCATTTGATCACACAAAGTTGCTAGAGGAAAGGCAGTATTTTCACATATTACTCAAAGCGGCTTAGAACTGAACTGTGAGACTATCTTTAGGGGTAAATTAGCATATCCATGCCTGCAGTAACAACCTCTTCTATGAGTCTGCAAACCTCTGTACCAATTAATCCCAGATACCACAGAGATTTTCTGTGCCAGGGCAACTGCCCACTATAAACTGAACTGAGACCAACTCACTTAATTTGTAGTAGGAAAAAAATTATTGCAGAAATATCACAATCAAAAAGCAGTACTGATGCCCACCTCAGGTAAGCAACACTACCGTCAAATTTGGTGTTGTTAAACAACTCACTTAGGTCCCCTGTAAACTGTCAGCTGGTATTGACTTTTGCCCATTCATACTGGTGATTTACAGATTAAAACCTCTGTACGCTATTCCTACTTCCACGAGTCGTCCAACACCTAGCAAGAAAGATTAAGGATTTGAGGAAAATTAAAAACTTTGAGGAATGGTGGTTTCTATAAAGTGTTAAAAATCGCTATGTGACATATTTTATGACAGGTAATGATGAAAACTTCTTCAAAGATACAGCCACCAACACTTGAAATCTTAACCCTACCTAAAACTACCGTAAATTCCTTAAAACAGTTACTGAGTTTATGCGTTTGGATACTCTCACAACTGAATTGCTGACTGCTGTTTGTAAACTACCCACTGCAATCACCACACACAATAGTTATGGGGAAAAAAATATCTAATCATTACCTAAACCGAGTTGTTCCTTTGATTTAATATTCTCTAAGCTGCTTTTCAAAACAGTTAGATAAGCTGCTCTGCAGTTCATGTAAAAGATTGCTTCTTCTGCATGCTGGGACTTCTTTGCTTGGGAACTTTCCGAGTGTGTGACCTTCTGAATGGAGAGGGATGCGTTATTCTCAGGACTGCCGGCCATTCTGTGAAGAATACAGTCACAGTTAGAATTTGTTATCTTCTTGCCTGTTTAATAATGTCTCTGCTTTGTCCTCTGAAACACAGACTAGCACAAATTATCCTAACATCTAGGTCATATGTTCTCCATTCTCTAAATCTGGGATGGGAATACATACCTACGCTTGTAGGTAGGCACCATGAGATCTCCAAACAAAAACAGCTTGAGCTCTACTTATTAGTCACAATTTATTCTTTATTGGCAGTAAAAAGTGTCGTTTTATTGTATTTTATTTTAATTTCAGATATTTGATATCACAATTATTATATAGTCATGTTATTTGAAAGCAAAAAGACGCATTTTTGAGTTATCTGTGATCTAAACATGGATAGCAATGGTTTGTAAGTAAACCACTAGGAATTGTCCTTACTACACATTTCTACTCGAATTTCTACTCTTGCCACATCAGCTAAACTCTCCTAATGACAGAAACAACATGAGAATTTGTACAAAAGTGCACTTGTTGGCTCTGATGACTCTACTACCATTGTCTATGCCTAGCACAGTTTGTCACAATGGTAAATTAATGAGCATACCATACCCACTACTGGTTTCCTCCCAGAGCCACTCTCGTTGATACAGTTGACCAGCAGTAGGAAAGGTGGCATTTTGTTTTCCTGAAACCACTCCAATTTAAACATGGCCACAGGTGCGAGGCACAGAATTATTTAAAATACTTTTTCACCAAACAACAATAACAAAGTAAATATTATCAAGAACGGATGCAGCGCTTATCTCACTGGAGAGCGCTCTATGGCTGCATGATCACGACTGACTCATGTCGTGTTGGATTCTCTATTATACCTCTTGGTGTTAACAGCAGAGTAAAAGCTCCCTTTGTCCTCCAGTGAAAACTACATGTGTGTTTATGCTGAACTGTGTATTTGTGAGGATTTCCTCCTCACTCAAAAGTTGACTTTCATCTTTCCAAGACTGATTTAGCTGGAAAACTGGGTAGCTTTACACAGCCTCAGCAGAGACACTGTGTAGTGTCATAAACACCATATAATGTTCAGTGTTAAAAAAACGCTATAATAATTATGAAATTGATTACATGCTTTTTTTCTAGTGCCCATACCAGAATGGGCTTTTGTTTTCTGTTTTTACAGTTATAACTTGATGAAACATATAGCTAATAGTAAAATTGGTCAAAATTTTAACCCTTAATCCTTCAAGTATGCGAAGTGAAATACACTTATTTGTACTTTTAAGACTTATCTAATAAACAGAAATAAGTAAATCTGAAGCTAAGAACGTGCATAAAACCACGTAACTTCGGCTTTTTACACACAATACTACCCATATAATTGTGAAACAATGAAAAAAAATACGAAATGCATTTTTTCTAAATTATTAAAATGATTCAAAGCAATAACTAATACTGTTTGCTCACCAATGGCCAGTAAACTTTAACAGCAGCTTTCTGCTTTTACCAAGGGTGATTAAGGTTTTTAGAAGGCCATCACAGAGGGACACTAAATCGTGTTGTACTGTTGGTCTAACAGCCTCTCATATTATTTTACCCAATGTTGACTTCAGAAAATATATTCCAGTATAATAAATTGAATATCTCAAGTTCAGCAACAAGACAACGACATCATAGGGTCCCCTTCAGGACTCATTGGATTTTTACTCAGGAGGCCTAAATCACTTGCACCTTCTTGAGTTATATAGGTC